GTCTGAAAGAAGATGAGAATATCGCCGATATAAACGACACAAATAATGTTGAGTAAATCGCGAAGAGTGTCCTGAATGAAGGATTGAAAAGCCGCTGGGGCATTAGTTAAGCCATAAAGAACTGTCAGGCACACTAGCCAACACAGTATAGAAGTGCAGAAGGCCCAAGGCTGAACACTTGCTCTGAGGATGAGTGAGGAATAGAGGAGGAGAATGAGCACTGTATTGCTAGTGGAGATATGACCAGCTCAAGACTGGGGAACTACACTACTACAGGCAGGTATATATACTACTGGTCTCTACAGCTTTAGGCAGTGCTACAGCAATGCATCACAGCAATGCACAGTTCTACAGCATTGCACAGCTCTGCACAGCATACAGCTTTGTACAGCTATACAGCTTTGTACAGCTATACAGCTTTGTACAGCTATACAGCTTTGTACAGCTATACAGCTTTGTACAGCTTGTCTGGCTGTGTGTGTTGACAGCAGAGCTGTACAACAGCAGTATCTACTATACTAGGATGTCCATGTGACTACATAACTATGAGATAAATATGGACTAACTAGTGATAAAATGTGTCCATGCTTCAAGTTGGAGTTGATGTATTCAGCTAGAGCGAGCCGTTCGTCAGGAGTAAGACGGTACAAAGGACCAAAAGGGGAAGATTTCCCCTCTTCAAGTTTGATGTCCACGTTGTAAGGTCGATGTTCTGGTAAATTGTCGAATTTGGATGCGGAAAAGACCATATTCGCAAAGTTGTTGTACTTTTCTGGGATAAAGGTTTCCAAATTGTTGGTATCACCAGGAACATGAGAGGGGTTGGCTTCGTCAACACCAGAAAAATCCGAGGCGGTAGTAGTGTTAATGAACACAGGGGAAGTAACTTTGTGAAAACGAAGTATGCAGATAGAGTCAGAGGACTTTGCGTATTTCATGAATCACTTTGGTCCAATGAACTTTATATCTGGTGTGGGAGGAGGAAGAGTAGGCAGAGGTTGACTGAAGCCATTCCAACGCATGAAGGAAGAGAGGAAGGAAGTAGAGGAGGAATTAGAAGTTTCCGAGGAAGCACTCAGAGGAGACGATGATGTCAAAGTATCTGCAGACGAGGCGAGATTGCCAAAAGGTGATGGAGCAATAATAGAGGAGACAAAAAGGTAGCATCGGAAAGACCGAAGCCTAAACTGAGCACCGAGGAAGTGTTTAAAGTAGAGCAGTTAAGTTTCGGGGAGAGACTGAAGCCTTTCACCGTCAGTCACCGGATGGGAGCGAGTAAGACCACAACAATCGAGGGAGAGATTAGACTCCACCCAATCAATATTAGGATTGTGGTGTTGAAGCCAATCAAGGCCGAGGATAACGGGATAAGAAACAGAAACAACTGCCAAAGGTCGGATCTCATGATGTCCACCGACACCAAAGGAATCCATGTACATGACTGCTTCCACAGTGCTGCCACTCGTACCACCACCAAAAGTCTTTGAACTTGGGCTTGATATAGTGCTCAAAGTATGTCTCGAAATGCTTTTAGAAGTAGTAGGCAGCAATTGCAGGATTTCCGTTCAGATCTTTCATGTGGACACAATTGGAATGTGCATCCTCCCAGCATTAGGATTGTGGTTTGGCATGTGTTGGTGCATATCTGGCCACTGTATATCCACAGAGGAAAAATTCACAAATGCATGAGGTGATCTGCACTCTGGTGATCGTATCTGTGCAATAAGATCCCTTTGACCCTTTGCCCAAAAAGGACATGAACCTGGAAGTTTCATGTCTGCACGCACCACCCATTCAGCAAGACTCTTCGCATCACTGCTGCCAGCATTTCCTTAATTTCCTCCATGGTTAAATCCTTGTCTTCCTGATGAGTTGTGGTGTACCACCTTGCCTCTTTTTTAGCATCATGCCGCATGACTGTGTTCAAGGCCCAGTAACGAAACTGCGGGTGTCATGCAAATCTACCATCTTCAAAGCACATCAGATGTGCTGCCCACTCAGCCATTGACACTGTTTCTGGTTGATCGGCTGCAAAATCAGCCTTGCTGCTCGGAAACAAAGAGGGAAAGGCTTCAATAGCAATCAAATGTCCAATGTGCTCATTGATTGGAGTGGCATTGTGAGGATCACTGGACCATTTGGGGTTCCATTAGGAAATGTGTTGGCAGCAGCCTGCAGTTGTTCAATCTCTGTCTGCCCAGTGTTCATGTTTGGCACAAATCCCCGAGTGAAGAGTGGTGTCTGCTCATGAGGATTTTCTCTGTCCTGTGGTGGCCCAACATCCTTGTCAGGTTCAGGAATATTTTGAGATTGAACTGTGTGCAGCTGATTGTGAATCAATGCATTCTCTGGAAGTTGAGTAACTCGATCCCAATCAACAGTGACATTGCGACGGAATGCTGGATGGTTGGCTACAAGATATGTCAACCATTGTTGTATAACATTCTGCTGCACTCGGAAATCCTGATAAATTTCGTCATCAGTGCCAGGCTCAACACCCATTCACCACATAATGATAACATCACACTCTTCTGGCAGAAGGGGCACTTTGTTGTGAAATACAGCAGTGTCACATGCAAAATTGCAGCAGTGTCCAGAATATTTGAACTGTCCACCATGGACTTGGTAGAGGGAAACCAGTGCGTGAACCGGGGAAATCAGCATTTCCTCCATTTGAGTGAGTGGAGGGAGTTCTGGGGAAGGACCAGGATCCATTCCATTAGAATCCTGATATTTGGTTTCTTTCTTCTTATGCCTGCATTTTTTGCATTTCCCCTGCTGAACGTCCAGATCAAACCACTGCTCATGACATCCAGTGCAAGATCCCATAGTAACTTTCATCCACTCATCCCTCACTTTTGACATCAAAAGCTTGTCCTCTGCAGAAACTGCTGGCTCAGCCAATGGATTGACTAGTGCAGCAGGGCCAGGATCAGGAGGTATTTGATCAGGATCTGGAGGTATTTGAGGACCTGGCATGGGCTCATCCTCATTTATTGGCTGCTGAAGCTGCAACTGCTGCTGAATCACTTCCAGTCTTGCTGTTTCCAGTGCGTGTGCAGCAGCTCTAGTCCACTGTTGCTGGTGACAATTTATGCAAGTAGCCAGATCCCCAAAAATATTTTGATGGATCCAGTGCCTTGCAGATGTACACCACAACAGATCTGCATTCTTAGGATGAATTTCATGTGCAGTTACTCCACAGACCCCTGTATGATGTGGATGGTGGTTGCATGGGCGACAGACTGGCCGAGCCACTGAACATAGAGGAGGAGATGCAGGTGTGGAAGCAGTAGTGGCCAGCTGAGTTGGTGGAGTCCCTGGCCTAGGCACAGATGGAGTCTGTTGGGGTGTCAGAGAGGGAGGAGAGGGAGTTGGGCTTTGAGGTGGAGACTGGTCAATATCCATGGATCCAAAGACATCAATAGCAGATTGTGAATGATAGTTTTCAACAGGGCTCTGGAAAAGCAGCTGAGGATGAAATTCAAAGTGTGGTCCACTGTCCATTGATCGCACAGAGCGAGAGGGGGAAGGAGGACTAGAAGGCTGCCCAATCTGAGTACACTTTCCTCTGGTCATGGGAGTTTGGTGTGCATGGAGATAGTTCACCAAAAGGACGTGGAGGTGCTATATGACCTAAATGATTGACTGGCCAGACCAAGCTTGATGAAATTTTGTCAAGGAAAGACCTACTTTGCAACCATGGAGATTCCCAAAGTAACTGATTTGACAGATTCTCCAATGGCAGGATTTCAGGAGGCATAGGTGGTCCGGATGCACAAATTCACCTTCCACGAGGAGTTGTCGCAGCAGCCTTATTGGGTCGTGATTCTCCATCATTATTTTCAGATTGAGCAGGTGGCAAGCAACTGGACAACTGCTTCGTGAGAGAGGTCCATCAATAAATTGCTTTTTTTGGCAGCCGCAAACTAAGGCCATGCAGGTGGACTTCACACTCTGGTAAACCAGATTGTTTTAGGCTTGTTCTGTTCAGATAACAACAAGGAGAAGACCGTCAGAGCAGATCAACCACAAGACCAAGTGGTAAACCAGATTGTTTTAGGCTTGTTCTGTTCAGATAGCAGCAAGGAGAAGACCCTCAGAGCAGATCAACCACAAGACCAAGTCCTGTAAATTGGGAAAGGCAAGAAGGAGCCGAAACAGCGGCTGGGAGAAGTGCGTCAAACGTTCTGTGGATTGATCTGTCATAATAGAGTTTGATCAAATTCAAACTCAGCCGGCCGTATCTGGACTTGCAGCAAACCTTTCCAATGTAAGGGGTGGATGGATGCTTCAAGAGTGCTTATATATCTACTACCCTCATTGTTTACATGCTCCTACCATAATCTTGCTGCAAGACTCAGCCTGGCTTTGCTGATCTTGCTGGTGACCTTCTGACAGCAATGTTCCTACGGAGCGACCATCAAACAAACAAGTGCAACAAAAGTGGTTTTGCACAGCCATCCACTTTGGGGCCCACATGATCAAATGGTCTCGCTGCGCTCCCCCAATCAGGTAGGTAGGTAGGTAGGTAGCATTACACGGCACGGTCTGAATAATAAACACCGGTTTCCAGGGGTTATCCCAGCATACAAGCAATGTCGGAAATTTGTAAGTTGAGCCATAAGGCGCTGCAAGGCCTTGTACGGCCATAATAGGATGGGTTCTTATAAGACTCTTAGACAAATAAAGAACATTATGTAAGACTGACATAAGAGGCAACGCGCTTATAAGACTGTCACGTCTTATAAGGCACTTCTCCCTTATCAGATCTTATCGGTGGTCTTTGTATGTACAAGCCTCTGTAAGATCTTGCACTGGTTGTAAGTCACTGTAAGGAAGTATCGAACTTGTCAGTCAACACAAGAGCTCTGTTTATATTATAAGGGGTCCTAAGGACTGGCGGCGGATATGAGGCAAAAGCAATCAACGACCGCCAGCTACGTTCCTTGATTTGGTAACCGATACAATGCAATTAAACAAAGGCAAGTTGAAACGACTGTTAGAAGCGAGGATCGAACCAGCGACCGAATAAGAAATTAAGAAATTACCAGTACAGAGCAATAACCACTGTGCCATTATGGCTTTATATTAGGGTCAAGTAAGGTCAATTTCCTGTCCCATTTTGGAAGATTTTATAATGGACTGTCAATGAGCATTGACCAAACACTACATACACAGTACAGCGCACCAATAAAGGGCAGATAACAATGCATGAGAAGTCAGCATGGTATAAAGCAGATCGAGACAGCAGGGAGCTGGAAAGGCGGTATATACAAGAAAGGGGTAAGCAGATGTCTCATTGTTTTTTATAGGGAAAAAAAAGAGAAAGAGGAGAGATAACGGAGAGAGATAAGTTAGAACAGAAAGGCAGGTCCAGAATCGGGGAGCCTGAGGTGTACAGGATGGAAAGTTGGTCAAAGAATCAGAAGATGTTGACATCTGTTGCTGCTGCAAGTTAATAACCAGGGTGCGTGATCTGATACTCTGGACATGTAGATCCCGAAGCCCAGGATCTGAATCTCGCTGCGGAAGAAAGACGAATGGGACGCCCAGGTTGATTCCCTTAGCCAGAGAATGCATGGAAGTAACCAGGGAAGAGAAAAACCCGCTGCAAGTTCCACTGTGAACCGACGTCAGCATGTGCCAGCAGCACATGAAAACGAGTTGCACACATGCCCCACCCTATGCCCCCAAACACTGTCCCGCCGCCCCATCAGCCCCGCTTCAGCCTCCTAGACCAAGACACGTTCCCGTGGGATTGTAAGCCGCATGCTAGCGCAGGCGCAGGACGCACCCGCAATCCCCACGCTCCCACTCAACTTGGCGTGCCGGCCCCATTACACCTAGGAACGAAGCCGCAGCTGCGTCTCCTCTCCAGCTGCTCCAAATGCGGTGCCCTGTGAACACATCAACTGCATCATCAAATGGGAATGGAATGGACATACTTCACGAGCTCCCACGCCCCACAGCAGCCTCCTCGATCTGGGACACACCCCGCTGCGCAAACACTCTTTGCCTGCAATCGGATCAGCAGATTCCGCCTGGATCGAGGCAAGCGTGGCCTGGCTTACCTGGTTGATTCCCCATGTGCACGCCCCCACAACCCCTCGACACAGCAGGATCAAGGATGGTGTTCATCCCCCGAAGCCCAAAGCACCTCACCTTACCCAACACATGGCAGTCCGTCTCCAGCGCGCACGGACATGCAAACCGAGATTGCGGTGCACCTCGATTCACCCTTGTTCCCCAGACCCCCACAGCCACCTGCCCCTGCTCTGCTGGTCCTGGCGGGCGCCCTAGTGGTACCATTGCCCTGGCAACCACCCATGGGCTCTCGGCTGCCTATGGGCCTTTGTGCACCACCACTGCTCGCTGTGACAACTCTGTCCTGCTCGCCGCGGCCCCAGTGCTGCTTGCGCTGTGTGTGTTGGCGTCCCGCCAAGCTATGCGGACATGCACACGCACAAGCGTGCGCTGCTGCAGCATAACATGACCACTGTCGCGCTGGCGGGGAGCGGCCCACATTTCCTGCACTTCCCTGACCATCTCTGGGGGCACATTCTCAACAAAATCTTGCAGGAGATGTGCGTCGGCCATTTTTCCTTGGTGAACTAACAGACAAATAATAATATTTTGCTTCGCAGGGTCATAATGGCATACCTGGTGCAGCTCGCGGACCGCGCGTTCGTGTTCGAGGACTACACCTGGTCGCACTCGCTGCTGCCGTACACGTTGTATGACTTTGCGCTGTGCCCCGCGTACATCCTGCTAAACACCTTCGTTGTGGGGCCTCTCGCTGGCACGCCGTTCCCGCAGTACGACGTTCCCGCAGTACGACAGCACCACGCTGGCTGTATGCCACCCTGCATGCGCCGACGTACCCCAGGATGCGGCTGGGGATCTACGAGGAGTGTAGTTGGCAAGACCGCACCGCACCGCTGCACACGCACCACGCCATCTCCACGGCCTTCTACTCTGTCTTCTGCCTGCCTGCAACCGTGCACACCATCTGAATCTCCTCTGCCAACGCCCCGTGCTCCCACTTCTCGCCCTCCTCCCCACCTCCACCACCATCTCCGCACAACTCACCCCACCCTGACTTTACCCTGTCAGGCTCCAAGTCCATGAAGTTCAAGTCTCATGCACAGCAACATGATGGCAGCAGCTGGAGGTGTCAATGCTGCGGCGCTCGGATCAGCGGCTCCCATGTCCGCTGAGAATGCAGTGCATGTGTTCCGCGTGGAAGTGGAGATGCACATGCTAGGATGGCAGGGATGCTGAACAACCACAGTGGTCGGGGGGTACTGCGGCCGACTCGGCGGTGGGAACTCCGGGAAGATGAGGTGGGGGAGCTGCAGGGGGTGTTAGTAGGTGGGAGGTGGAAAGAAGCGGGGAGGGCATACCGCGTGCTGCGGCATGAGTTCATCAGGATGGATATCATGGCAGGTGCTAAATAGAGAACATAGAGCTGGGGGTAGAAGGTGATGCTGTAGTCTATGAGAGATATCAATTGTCAGCAAGAATATAGCTTTACACAGGACTTGAGCACTTGCCTGGCTAAACTTGACAAGGAGATTAATTAATTGATCTTGCTGAGCAATATTGGAGAATGATAGCTGGTGCCCTGCACCATTCCAAGACGACTTCTGTGAATTGTGATCCGCTGCTCATACGATCAGAGGTGGGACGGGGGTCGCGATTGCGATCCTTGGCAGGCCTAATGGAAGGAGAGATGCTGGCAGGCAATGCATTCACAGTTTCCTTCTTGTTGGTTGCTGTGCGCTGGGAACTGCCCCTCGCTGTGTGTGTGCCAGCAAGGCCAGCGTGGGCATGGCGCTGACAACGAGCCAAGCGCCGGCAGAGATTGGGGGGCAGACAGGTCAGCAGGGAGCTGTACAAGATGTCCTGCAAGAAACGGAATGGGTGGACGGGATTTAGCGCGGGCGCTGGCTGGAGCGATGCTGATGGTAGGGGTAGGGTGCAATGCTGAAGATGAGCTGAGCATTCACAGCGTGCGCAGGAGACTCAAGCTGCAGACACGTCAGTAATAAGCAGGATGATAAATCAAATTTGAAAGACACACTATGTCAGGCTAACGGACATGGGAGTGCTGGAGCAAAGTCGGGGTGAGGATGTGGTGCTGACAGTGAGACGGGTGTTCGGAGCACGTTCAGGAGTCTAAAGGGCACACATTGAGAAGAGTGTGCGAGATGTACTGTGGGCTGGGTGCATGACAACATTGCGGCAGTGCTTGCTCGTTGTCTCACAGGCACTAGGTTCGAGGCGACATTCTTGAGAGATGGATGGGGCGGTCAAGATATGATCACCGGAGGGTAGTGCAGACACTGTAGCAGATTCAGATGGGAGTGGGTCGATTCATAATAACCTAATAGCTTCTGAATCCTATTGGGTCTTTTCTTACACAAAGCTGGAGGGTGCGCGATATGGGACTGGGAATCGCTCGGTATGAAGCGGGGCGGGTTGGAATTGCGTACAAGCAGCGGGTGTGCACGAAAGGTGACAGTAAGAGGCAAGCGTCCAAATCGGGCTGGAGGTCCACACTTCAAATGCATCCAATTAATATTCTATAATTTCTACTATTTTTTGGCGCTGTGTACACCTGGCTGGAGCATCGGACTCTGGTGCTGGTGTAGGAGCCACAGCCGCACGTTTGCGACCACCTGTGTGGTGTACTGGGGCAGAGATAGAATCAGCTTCTCCGCCCGCCTGGTCCACGCCGTTGGCCGCTACTTCATTGTTGACCTCTGCAGGCCCATCTTTATGGTTCACTGCATTGTTGACCTCTACCTGCTCACCATCGTCATCGTCGTCGATTGCTGCATCACTCTCTGTCTCTCCTGGATGGGTTTCAGTGTTCATGGCTGCGATGACAAATTTAGCTCCACAACAGAAATTCAGCATGCGGAGAATCGACTCACCATCTGATTCAATGTTTTCCTCGTCGTCTGAACCACCAAGGTCCAGGGCCTCCATTGCAGCCTTGAATGCTGCTTCTTCGTCCTCATCGCCCACATCCTCGGTGTCCTTGATGGCCACTGACGTGACGCCTGCAAATACAATCTTGGTCCAGAACCTGATAATCCTTCTCGTGCCCGCTGAATCACCTTTGACCGTTAGAAGCTTCTTGTACTGTCTGAAGTATTTCTGAAATGGTATCCCGGTCGTCTTGCCCGTTTCTTCAAATATAGCATCTTTTCCCGACGCTACGAAAATGACCTATAATATATTATAATAGTCAGTGGTATTTGAAGAGAAATACAGACGGGTAAGATTATTGCGGCACATGTGAACACAATGGAGCCAAAGGTCAGACACTTCAGCTGCCATCAACGACCCAGTGTATGAGCCTGAGGCTTTTTCGTGAATTCATCTTGGAGACTACCTGCGGCAAAGATCATGCAGCGGAGGGCCTTATTAAATGTCAGTGATAGAAAGAAAAGTAGTCTTGGATCGTACTATCGGAAGAGCTTTGTTCATAAACAATGCTTGTGGGTTCTTCTTTAGTCCGGAGTAGAGGATGGGCGGTAAGCTACTGCATTTGACAAGATTTGAGTTGTCTCCAGGAAAGAATAGTAGAGTTGTTTGCAAGTTCTTGGGCGTAGGACTGGTCACGATCACGAGATCTACCAGAATCTGGTTAAAACAAGATTTCAAGGCATTGATGGCTGACAAGCGCCTGGCACCAAGCTGTTTTATGAACTTGTGTGTATAATTAGCCATAGCGTACAAGGAAAGGTAATAGCCAACGTACATTTGTACCAAAGTCACTGAAAATTGCCGAGTCAACAAGCTCGTGGAACTTGTTAGGCACATGAGCATAGACAGCCTCCATGAGGTATTGCAAGTAAAGGGTTGTCCGCAAATATTTTTTCAATGTCATTGGGTAGGCCATTTTGAGGGATGCGAGGGAAAATTGCCGGGTCGATCCATGGTTCCTCCATACCACCAAAGCTTTTCCCTAGGTTAACGATCACCTCTTGATAACCAAGTAAATTTTCGCCTGCGTGCTGTGCTTGCTTCCATTTTCTGACAGATTGATTCACCAGCATTTCGGCCATCTT